TGCCCACAGTCGAAATGCTCCAAGGCCGGACACTCCTTGTGGTGGACGATGGGATTGAGGCCGGGGACACGATGCGCGAAGCCATTATGCACTTGAAACACTGCTATGGCGCCAATAAGATCATTGTTGCCGTGCCTGTGTGTTTGGCGGATCTGCGCAAGCAGCTGCTGCGGCATGTGGAGAGCGTGGTTGATATTGTGTCGCCGATTTTTGTCGGATCGATTGCGCGGTGGTATGCGCGGGGTGTGGCTGCGTCACATGCGGAGCAGATTGTTTTGAACCGCCTGTTTACGAACACTGGAGGCAGCGAGTTTGATCTGGAATGAACCTCGTTTTCTTAAATCACCCTTATGCCCCTCTTTATCTCTCTCTTTTCTGCCAACAAGACCATGCCAATACGCCCGCCGATGTGACTGTATTTTTCTCGGTTTTGCTCTCGGTTTTTTTCTTCTTTATTCGAGTGTTTGTTATTGTTGTTGTTTACTAAAAGAGGCGAGTGCCAGATACAATGCATTCACTTTTTGCTAATTTATACTGTTTTGGGCTCCTTTTTTCTCTTCCATTTCCGAACCGAATTAAAAAAGAACGTTTTTTTCTGTTGTGGCGCCGAAGACCACCAGGAATTACCTCTGTTGCTCGCTTTGTATATCAGTTCAAGGCAAGATCCACAATATTGCGAATTTCAGAATGCGATGGGCGTAAATAAGCCCAAAAATGTTGCATTTAGCGTATGTACAGGTGACACCGAAAATTAAAGCAAGATTCACAGGGCTGGGCCGGGCCGGGCCGGCTGGGAACCAAAATTTTTTTGCTTCACTCACTTCTGGAAGAAAAGCCAGCCGCCATCTAATTCATCCATCCACCAAGGCGAGTGACGCAGCTAAAAAATACGAAGACAAATTCAAAGGCCGTTGTTCTAGGGCCCCGAGGTGTGTATCTTGTAAATTCAAGTGTTTTCCTTGTGCTTCTCTACAAGCAGTTGATGTCTGAGACGAGTTTTTGGGCGCAGCTGGTAACCAATCGACAGAGACTTTGTGTCCTCCCTCATCCGAGATCAGCCCCTGTCTGTGGGGTTTATAAGTGCGATGACACAAAAGTGGTCCAGAAAAAATCTTTATTTGGGTTCTACCAGAACTGTAGGAGAGAATAAAATACAAAGCTTTGAACACAACACTCCAAGTTTTTTAGGTCTCTTGACACCGCACCAACACGCGAATACGAAGACCAAAAAAAGGAGGCTGGAAGAAAATATAAAAGCAATTTTTTTTGTGTCGCATTCATTTCTTTTTTAATTGATTCTGGATTCCTTGCTTGGTCGTCTCCGCTTTTTCTCTCTTTCTTGTCTTTTACTCCAAAAGCTGAATTATTTATATACATTGTCTCGGGGCCCATTTCCTTCTCTTTATTACTATTGCTGTTTAATTTTATTTTTCTTTCTTCGAGCTCACTCTCGCTCTCGCCCCCCCCCTCTCTTTCTCTATCTCACTATATTCATTTTACAATAGTGAACACCCAAACAAAAAATAAAAAGTAAAGCAAAAACCCTGATTCTCTTTTGCTTCTTATCCCCCCTCTCTCTTGCTGCACTTTCAGCACGTTATATTCCTCCCGCCTCTTCTATTTGTTTATCTATTGCAAGCTGTGCGTATTGCCTGTATTACTGCCTCTAGCTGCATATCGCTTTTTCCTCTCTTTTTTTGCTGGTCTTTCATACCCTACTCCAAAAAAATAGGTTTCCAAAATACAGACCCAACCTATTTTCTTTTTTATACATTTTCTCCTTATTCTTATTCTCGTGCTTGTATTTTCCTTTTAAACTCGCCATTTCGTTGAATTCAACAACAAAAAAGACTGCTTTTTGGCTTTATATTGGCAGACTTTTTTTTGTACAACACCATACACGACACTTGTTTTTTATTGTTCCCAACTTTTTAGGTGTTTATTATACAATTTCTCTCTTTTTCGCAGTAGACAACTTTCTCGCTCGTCACTCCCTTTTATTTTCCCTTACACATTGGGCCGTCATTCCGATCGAATCGGACTTAATATACGCCCAGCCATCCTAATAAATAACAAGCAGCGACAGCAGCAAAAATTCCCTGTTTTTTTCCTTTTCATTATCCGCGGTTAAGGAAAAAACAATGGCATTTATCAACAAAATACTGCAAAAGACAAAGAACAAGATCAGCGATAGAGACAGTTCTTCAGGGATGAGCCCACCAACAGAAAGGAGCTCAGTTTACACACAGTACCTTGACTCTCCGACAGACCCGACGCCACTGCCAAACTCACCGCTTGGAGGGAAAAACTACGGTGTCTCACCGGGTGTAGCAAGTTCTTCGCAGCCGCCTATGCATGAATACCCCTACCAGCAGCAGCACCATGTGTCGGTGCCATACAAGCAGTCTGCGCCCCAATTGCAGAAACACATGGTGCCGTCGAATGCTGCACCCGGTGTTCAATCGTTGACGAGTATGGCGACGCGTGCGGCGTCATTTTCGGCTGGCGCAAGTGGGTATACTGCACCTCAGACGCTGTACCCTGGACAGCAGCCGATCCAGTACCAGAATACGGCGTATGCGCAACAGCAACAGACTGTGGTTCAGCCTCAGCCTCAGCCTCAGCCTCAACCTCAACCTCAACCTCAACCTCAACCTCAGCCTCAGCAGCAGCAACCCCAACAGCAGCAGCAGCAGCAGCAGCAGCAACAGCAACAGCAACAGCAACAGCAACAACAGCAGCAGCAGTGGGAACAATCCGTGCCTTTGCAGACAACTAAGCAGCCATACGAGGACAAGCACGTGCGCCTGGACGAGTTCGAGGTGTTTCGCACAGTCGGCACGGGCTCCTTCGGGCGAGTGCGCCTGGTGCGGCACAAAGTGACGAACAAGTACTACGCAATGAAGGTTTTAAAGAAGGGCCATGTGGTGCGGGCAAAGCAAGTCGAACACGTCAACAGTGAGCGGCGAATCCTCGCCGAATGCAACTGTCCGTTCATCGTCAACATGCTGGGAACGTGCCAGGACCGCATCAACCTGTATTTCTTCATGGAGTACGTTGTCGGTGGCGAGCTGTTCACGTACTTGAGGCGGTACCATCGGTTCCCGCCGCCTGTGGCTAAATTCTACGCGGCCGAGGTGCTTTTGGCACTGGAGTACATGCATGAGCGCAATATTATTTGGCGCGACACCAAGCCCGAAAACATCCTGCTGGACGACCGCGGTCATGTTAAGCTGACGGACATGGGCTTTGCCAAAAAGGTCGTGGACCGCACATGGACGCTGTGCGGAACACCAGATTACTTGGCACCCGAGGTTATCCAGGCAAAGGGGTATGGGAAATCCGTGGACTGGTGGGCACTGGGTATTCTGATATTCGAGATGATCGCCGGATACCCGCCGTTCTACGACGAGGACCACTACCGGTTGTACGAGAAGATCCTTGCTGGGCGCATTCAGTGGCCTGCTGAGTTCGACCCTGTTGCCCGCGATCTTGTCAGTCGCTTGTTGACTGCCGATCTGTCGCGTCGTCTGGGAAACCTGCATCGTGGGTCGGCTGATATTAAAGAGCACCGGTGGTTTGCCGAGGTTGATTGGAACCGGCTAGCTGCTAGAGAGATTCCGGCGCCGCTGATTCCGCCGCAGAAGGTCGATGGCGATACGAGCAACTTTGACAAGTATCCGGAGACAGCAGAGACATATGGTGATACTACATCGGAGGACCCGTATTCGGAGCTGTTTTTGGAATTTTAGTCGACTGCATGGACATATTGGCTGCTGCATTTCAGTTCGCTCCTAGTGTATGATTTCGCTTTGTTTTGGCTGGTTACAAATAACTTATATATTTTTCGCTTACAGCCTTTCTTTTTTTATTACAAATATTGTTCTTTTTGCTTTTACATTTACACATTGTCCTTTTAGCAAAACAAAAAATGAATGGTGTGATTTCCAGACAGCATTATTTCTTTGGGTCGGTTTTTCTCTTTTTCATATCCTGTTCCAACTGAAGGATATGTCGGCGTGACAGGTGCAAATCTGGTTCGAAATAGGCATCCGCTGAAGAAACGGATTAAAAGGGAAATATTGAGTGGTGCAAAGTAAAATGGGTTATAGTGGAGTTGAGTGGAGTTGAGTGGAGTTGAGCGGAGGCGGAGGCAGACGGGGGGGGGGGGTACTCACCTGCCGTTTTAAGAGCAGAGAGCTCAGGCCTTTGTGACTTATCTTGGACTTCCCCCCCCCTCCCTCCCCCTTTTTAACTATTAAATTTTTTCAGCGAGTATAAATTTTATTCTAAATATGGTAACGTTATATTGGTTGTTCCGGAGTTTGCCGGTTGTTGCTATAATTGACTTTATTTGAGTGTACGATAAATACGAAACATAATTGGTTGATTTTCGATGTTTTCTAAAAAAAAATTAAAGCATCAATTCGGGTTTTTTTTGTGTGGATGCTCTTTTTTTTTGGTGACAACAAATGAAATTGAAATAAAAAGAATAATATATTGCGGTGGTTGTTTTCATTTGATTTTTCTCTATCTATTCTGCCCAGGACATTTAGTCGCATGTGCCACCCACACAAACCGGGTCCTTGTTTTTTATTTGATTTTCTTTTTTCCTGGTCAATTCCGATTGTGATAAAAAAATAGATGCAATCGGGATCCTCTTTTCCTTCCATTTTTCCTTCCACTTTTTTATTTTACTTTATCCACACCTGTACTGTTTATTTATTTTTCATTATCAAGAATTAACACAAAATATGACGACAGCAAGCAAAAGCAACAGCAGCAGTAGCAATAATGATGGTTCTGGTTTGGTTCTGCCGATAATTAGCAGCAGTACTGGCGTGGTTACTCCGACAGCACAAAAATTCGGCAGCAGTATTTTGTTTACGTGGTTTGCTGGAAGCCTTGCGTCGTGCGGCGCGGTTACATTTACAAATCCATTCGAGGTAAAGCAGGTGTTTTTTATATGATATATGAGTTGTATTGAGTTGTTTGCTTTTGTCTTTGGCTTTCTGTATTTTACTATTCGGCCTGATGAAGGAAATATATTTCAATGTTATATTTTTAAAAGATGAGATTTGTGGCAGCGGGGGGGGGGGGGGGTTGTGTTGCTGACTAAATAGAAAGAATTGATCACACGGCCCCCTACCTACTTGTCTGTCTATCGTCTGTATCTGTTCGTGCGCCTGCCCTGCTCGAATCGATATCTACTGCTGATGCCATGCATGATAATTCCTTCAATTCCTTCAATTAGTACTAATTCGATCTTCTCATCCCTGCCATCACTTGATCTTATTCCGCCGGTTTCCATTTTTTCACCCATTAA